GAAAATGCTAGTGAAATGGGGAGTAAAATCAAAAACAAAGAGTTTGCTTGTTCTAAAAGTTGGGAAGAGCGTTTCAAGAAGAGGCATAGTATCAGTAGCGGAAAAATTGTTGGAGAGTCTGCCGGCGAAAAATTCTTCTTATGAAAACGTTAGAGGCGATCGATAAACATGAAACATTTTCTATAAATCTCTTAGATGCAGTCAATTTCATTCATAGAACTTGGCAAAAAGTTAGCCGAAAAACCATTGCAAATTGCTTTAAGCATGGGCGATTTGTAAGAAAAGAAAATGATTATGAAATAGACCATGAAATTCCACTTAACGAATGGTTAGAAAAGTATAAAGACTCTGACTACGAGTATGACACAGACGAAGATGTCCCAATGTTGTCGAAGAACAAGTTAAAACCAAATTGAGTGATTTTAATTGTTTCGAATATGTGAGCATTGATAATGGCAGTCTTACAAGAGAAATGTTGACCGATGAGCAAATTATAGACTCCGTAACCGCATCTACAGCTTTAAGCGATAATTAGAAAGATGACGATTTGGGTAAAACGTATTCTACTGTAGACACTAATGCTATTCCAACCATTTCTGAAATGACAAAAAAAGTGTCAGAATCACGGAATTTTCTACAATCACGTCAAGTTCCTAATCATATCTGGGAGTCCTTTTGTGATCTTGAAAACTACTTAAATAACATCTATTTTTGCAGCAGAAATGTACAAACAAAAATTGCAGACTTTATGAAGTAGATTTCAAATTAATTTTGTTTATCTTTTTGTGTTCTTTTTAGTTAGACCTACTAACTTCTACTACTCTATGTACAAATAATGAAATAAAATACACCACGTGTTTTTGTATTATTATTGGCTTATATCAAACTCCGGATATACCGAACCAGTTTTAGTTAATTTTTCAAGTTCGTTATATCCGAACTCAACTGTAATATATTCATGTTCTTATTCTTAACATAAGCAATTCCCTCATTAAATCATCCGCAAACTTAACAATATCCAACTTTCGCTATGATCAACAAAGTGTTTCAATCTCCTGCCTGTTCCTTAAATCCTAATTATTTTCCATTAGTTTCTAAAGCGAAGGAATAGAAATCTGCCACAAAGCAACAAAACCATCGACAAAATACTGCCACTGTTTATACGGCTATAAAGTGGAAAGTTCCCGCATTCTCATTAGCAGAGAAAAATCAAGGGAAAACTTTTAATAACGTCCAAGTTTTTCCATTAAAACCGGAGGAAACATCAAAAGAGCGCTCGAGGTTCGGGACTCCGTACATCGGCAACTTTATAAACATATCATCATAAAACCACATTATACGACATATTCTATAAGAACTTGGGAACTTTGGACTTTACGTAAAGACTGTCGTTATTTATATTGCATCATTATAACTTCATGCAACTGATATTAAAGGGAAACTGGATTGGCAGATGTTATTAGAGCGTGCAACATAAGTTACCTGAAAGTTTACGCGAAAGTAACATCCATTAAATTACGACATTCACTGCTTTGTCTAAGCTTGTATTTTACAAACAACTGGACTTTTAATTGAATTGAACTTAATAGCGTTGAAAACGATTATTTCTACTATCCATTCTATACGACTAGAAGTTACCTTGAAAATTACTTTGATCGCGAATTGGTCACATCTGCTACAAAAGTAGGTCCTTTGCCGCTCAAGAGATTCGCAAACAATTATTTCCTGAAACAATTGAGACTTGATCAACATCCAAACACCTGATAACACGATTCGAGTCAAATTAAAATCCTAATTATGCCAGATCAACAGAAAAATCTTACATGACTGAAAGTCGGCAATTTATCTAATCTTGATTCAATTGAGACAGTCAACAACAAATATTTTAGATCAAAATTGAATTTAACAGACAATGGTTTTTCTCTAATCTAATTCTTAATATGGATTTAGCAGAGCATAAGTTCCGAGAACAATACGCGGGCAGAAACCCTTGTGTCTGAAACCAGGCAACAGATTTTAATGACGAATCAAATGCTTAATGTTCGGCAGCTGGTTCAAAACTATATAAATGGGAAAGTGCCTATAGTACCAGAAAAAATCAGAAAATATTGATAAAACCCGGGATTCTGATCAACTACTCTATTTTAAATTCATCACAGAATGGCGAAGGAAAGTTCTAAGTGGCTGTTTTTAAATTGCGGTACTTTTTTTGAAATATATTCTCATTTGAAATCACTAACAGGCCAGTCATTTGTATCTTAGAAAATTAAACCGAAGAAAGTGAGAATAATTTAATACATTGAAATTAAGCACACTTTTGCTGAAGAATGTTGAACATCAGGCAAACGTCAAATGAAGCAGATCAATATATAATAATAACCCATGAAAATATTAAGAAAAGTATGTCAATATAAAAAAATCATTAAACCTCGTCTAAATAACACGTTTCGACAGCAATAAAAAATTACAACCGCTTATTTTAGTGGCACTAAACTGATAATTCCAGCAAGTTTCGGTAGAACAGTTCTAGATCGTGCCATTCCAACTAAAGCGCCAATGTAAAAACTGAAAACCACCGTTAATGCACATGTTTATAAATTTTAATGGCAAAACACATAGGTATGAATCAACCAGATGCGGTTTTACGCTTTTAGGTTCACACTTGAGCCGGGTTTCCCAACTTCCTAAACATCAAAAACCACTCGAGCTGGATCCAATACATACTAATCGCTTAGTAAATCGATTCACTGGAAAAGTGCTCAAAAGGTGTAAATAAGATAGTGATTGTTATTGATGAACTAAGCCCTTTCAGGTATATAAGTACGGCACAGTAAATTAACCAGTATTCGAAATCCATCAGTGCTTTTGAATAATCGACAGTCAATTAAAGAAAATGGTTGGTGGAGTAAAAATTGTGATACTGGTGCTTTCATGCGCAATTTTAGGTAAGCAGAACCACTTTTTAGTGTAATTTCACTTTGAAAAATTACAGCTTTTAACATTGATTAACGATGATATGTAGGTGTTTTGGGAAAACAATGCTATAGTTGCAACTCGTATACTGACAATGATCACACAGCTTGTATTGATCCAATGAGTCCATATCCTTCAGTAAACTACACCACATGTGCTGACTCGTCCGTTTGTACTCGAGTCTCGTACGTAACCCGTAAGTACAGCCATTAGTAACAGGAAAAATGTAAAATCAACTGAAAAAATCATCTTTCAGAGAAACAATTCGTTGTATCCAGAGGATGCGATCTTTCAAGCAACACTTGCACCGCCATTTACAATACGTTGGTAGCTTACTATCCTGATCTCTCTACATTCAACTGCTACTACTGCACTTCTGACTATTGCAATTCTCTCTCAGGACTCGAATATTCCAATGAATTAAAATAAGGTGATAAAACCAATTTAGAAATTGTATAGCGTTTGCAAACAACGAACTGATATATTTTAGTAAATAATTGAAAAAATAATATAGTCTTCTCTTAAAACAACCCAGAAAAGCAATTAAAAAATGAAACAACGCAAGCTAATAGTAGAGATGCACGGTTTTATACAGCTTTACTCTCAATCCGGAAATACTTCTGAAAACATTTTTTCGAATGTCTAGACCGGTACGTTTAAATGTGGCTTTCAAGTTCAGAAAGATAGAAACAAAGCACAGCCGACAATAGGAAACCAGTAGGAACTGCCTTTCCTCAATTAAATGCCCAAGCTCAAAGAATAAGTCTCATTGTATTACTTCCCCCATTATTTCAACGCCGACACAGTAATCATTGTTCCCTGGAATTAAAGAGGAGAAAACCAAATTTGAAACAACCATATACAGAGTGGAAGCTTGATTAAAAGCAATTGTCATATTAAGCTTTTGGAAAAATATGCTTAATTGAGCTGCAAAGAAGTCGAATAAAATTCTGGAAGCCAAAGTAACAACACAATCTCTTTTTACGCTTGAAACCAGTTTACTTAAGTTTTCCGGATATTTCCCAACAAGCCCTAGAACACTTATTGAAAGCCACTATCATCCAATATGAGCGAAGATTTATTGGCCGGGATACAGTCCAAATTACGGCGCCGCTTAAAATTTGGCACAATTCCAAATTTGCACTCGAATCTCTAACCGGATTTTAATTGGCTTTGTTTTGAATTGTATATTTATTCCTCGGCAACCATAGTGAGAAGTAAACATTTATTTAAACGATTATTTTAAGTGTGCAGAAGTGGCGAACATGGAAAAAGTATATTAAATTACGTTTTAGTATTATAGGAAAAAGATGGGAAAATTTTAAAGATTGAACATTTTCTTTGCTATGAAAAAGACTGAATTATCTGATAAAACTGGAAACCTAAATAAAAAGTATATTGGTCCAGCAATTGCAAAGCTATTTACGTTTAGTTGAAATAAAATGTAAACATCAAAAAAAAACATAAAAAAATAAATAGATACATTAAAAATTCAATAAGACATTTTATGAAAACAAAATCCGTCATTAACATAACAAGGCGGATGAGGTATTTATGAAATTCCCCAACATTTTCATAATAGAACACCTCAAAAAGCCCTGACCGCAAACCACTCACATAATTTCCGAAATACTCTTAGATTTCATGGACGCCTTCCTCGGTATAATTCATCGCTGTGAGTAACCTCAATGGCCTCAAAATTTAATATAACGCGAAAGCCGGCGAAATGAAAGCCAAACTTTCTCAAAAGGTTGAGCATTGCACCGAGCACAGAGGTCCTCTAATTCCGCAATCGCTAATTAAATCCTATTTCGTTTAATTACGTTAAATTCCTTCATCTGAATTTGATTAAAAATAGACGTCTACGGTAAACGGAATCGTCGCTAGAAACTTTCCGGATGCTAATAGTGCCAACCGGAAGTTTGCGTTCTAAGGAATGCTGATAAATAATCTCCGGATCGAAATAGACTCTAGTAGAAAATCAACCAAACCACTTATATTCCATTTTCGGGATTTGTTTAACTCTGAATCAAAAAAACAGACAAATTGCGCGACGATTTTCGCACGAAGCAAATATTAAATAATTCGCACAAGTTGCGATGGCAAAGAGTAGGCGCATTGCTAATAATGCCGAGCACCGAGCACTAAACAGTATATACATACTAAATGCTAAATCAGTTCAGTTTGCAAATGAGCTCTTGTAAGCTAATGAATATTTAGCTGAAGTCTGCAAGTCAAACACTCCTCATCACTACTGAACCAATATTTTGACTTATCGTTAACTATTACGGAGAATCTCGAAACCTTAGAGTTTCTCAATGTTTGCCCCGAAAATTAGAAAACCGCAAGTTTAATTTGATTTCGAAACCCAGCTCCTGAATGTTGTTATAAAGTAGTGTAAAAATGAAAATTCTATCCAGAACACTTGCAAAACACTCAAATTGTGAATGGAAGTAAATCAAATGGAAGCAATTGGCATAATACGTAAAAGCAGGTTAACTGGTAGCTTTCAACGTTATTTAAATTCTTCCCAATCTTCTTCCGAATGGGGTCCTCCTGTTTAATTTGACGAACGTCACTGATCCAAATAAGACCGCACAATGGAATCATCAATCGAAACTGAATTTATTTGCGGCGTCACTTCAATCGAAACCCACTTTTTGTTACTTCCCAGTTTATTGATGTGGGTAATAGTTCGGCTTGAGGAGGATTTTAAACCAAGATTTATACTCGCGCTGTTTTGGAGAGAGGAAATTTAGTTGCTGGTAATTTTCCAAATTAAGATTGAAAGGTAATTTTGCGGTTTAAATCGCGGAAATCGTTTGTTTAGTGCATTTATCTAAGCTGGATCTCTGAGGCCATGTCCAGATTAACCTGCTGTGGCGGACTTTGCCAATCGGTTGTTAAGTTCAATTTCGCCAATAGAGGCTTTCCAGTTCATATCGTTCGGGATTTATTGCCTACATAAACTTATGGCCGAGACCGGATTCAGATTGATCCAATTAATGTGGGATGCAACGTGATCTGCAATGCGCTAGCAGTGGATTACGGCAACCTGCATCCGAATGATTTTCGGGATTTCACTGGATTAATACCATGTCAAAGGAGCTATAGGTAATGCCGTTCTACTAGTGCTAATTCACTAGTATAATTCGGATAACTTCCTCTCCCAAAGTCTCGGTAGCAAACGTACAGAAGTGCAACGGACGGGAGTGGACGAACTATCCTCTGAATAAACAGGAACAAATTATTTATAAAAAAAAAAACAGACAAACTACAACTCTTAATTCGTTACGTATCTCTGAAAAAAGCGATGTTCATCCAATAAGCATGGTAACTCAGTTGGGTTAAATGCTAAGCGTATTTAAAAGTGCGGCACATAAACGGAAAATTCGTTTTTTTAACAAAGTTGTGCGTTCAGTAAAGAAGAGGACGCTCTAAATTGCGTCAAAATTTCGAACTTCACTCATCATTGAGAAAAATTTGTGCTGGATTTAAAGAAACTGTAGCGGTACAAAAAACACATTTTGTATCGCGTTTTTCGAAAGTAAGTTTATCAGAAACGGAAAATACTGTACACGTTCAGAGTGGTGCGTTTGGTATACTCGTAGAACAGTGTGCTCTAAATATTCTCAAAATTCCTTTAAACCTCGAAAAAGTCATTGAAATCGCATAAAATCCCGAATTTTGAGCGCTTTGCAAATGTTGATTTGAAAACAAACGCTTCCCACATACCAAAATGATATTCCCAGAATATACCTGGAACATTCATGTGATGTACATGCATATTCCTGGGACATACATGAGTTCCATTATGAATATTCCATGCATGTCCCAGGAATCTGTCAGAGTTAATACACTGAATGTTCATGGTATGTTCTGGGAATGTACATGGTATGTTCAGTGAATGTACATGTGTTTGTTCTGACAATGTACCTGGTATGTTCAGTGAATATACATGTGTATTTTCTGGGAATGTACATGGTATGTTCAGTGAATGTACATGTGTATGTTCAGTTAATGTATATGGTATGTTCAGGGAATATACATACATATATGTAACGAAAGAAAAACGATACTTTATTTCATCTTATTAGTTTATTCACATATTTAAGTATTTACTGATGTAATTTTTCAACAACAAGAGTTACTTACAACTAATCTAAAACTAATTAAATGGATAATAAATAAATTAAAATATAACTTATAACTACGGACTAAAAATTTAAATTAACATTTTCAGCATTTTTGCCGTTGTCGCAATGATGTGTGACTGTGAGATAAAACACAAACCTTTATCTAAAAAACTGCACTTATTATTTTATATTTCTTACATGTTCCCGCTCTGTGGATTTTGCCCTTTCATTTTGTTCTCGATCAATTAAAGTGTTTCGCAATATGCTCTTAACAAAAATTCTATAAGCAATTACCAATTTTAATATTGGTCCCAACAACAAAATGCAGTTAATAGTTTTACATTGATAGACTATTTTGTTGTGTAGAAATACAGTAAGGTATAGCAGTTTGCTTTGATACATTACTTTCATTTTACTTTTGTTACTTTCCTTCGATCCAAGAAAACATGCTTATCGCAAAATAGAAATCAACCAAAATCAAACTGGTAAAAATAAAAAAATACAGATAATAGTTCTACATTAATAGAGGAATAATTAGGTTCAGACAACCTTACTTGTCTCTTATGCGAAAATTTTTCGTGTGTGGTTTTCTCACTGGATCTGGAGATCTGGTGATCCCGAACATCTTCAATGCTTCAAGTCCACAACAGCGACATTACCTGTAGTATAGAACACGAAATAATAAAATAACCAAATGTATTTAATTTAAACACCAACATACATTTACATTTTTGCCGTATTTTATGCGAACATTTTTCGTGTGTGGTTTTCTCACGTGATCCCTAGCGTCTTCAATGCTTCAAGTCCAGTTATCTGCTGCGGGCACGCAAAATTTATTTTCGATAAATTTTGTTAATTTGTTAATCAAAACACCATATTTTCAGTATTTCATAAGGGTCTCAGGTTTTAGTAGTAAGAAGATTTACTTTTCTGCTGCGGGCACGCAAAATTTATATTCAACCAATTTGGAATATACCGTAGATATACATTCATGTATATTACCGGAATATTTGTTTTGAATATACTAGGTATATTTACCTGCACATATACACAATATGACATACCTGGCATGTTCATCTGCACATATACCCAATATGTACATATATGTACATACCTAGGATATACTTTTTATAAACTTTGATGAATATACATGCATGTATATTCCACGAACATTCATGTTAGGAATGTTCAACCATGTATATTCCCAGGATATTCCCGCAATGTTCTGTATATTTTTTGAACATTCTGGGATATTCATAGAATATCAAATGCTATCTGGGTTCATCAGATGCATGTTCAAAGTTGCATATTAATATAATAATATTAATATGCAACTGCAGACTGTTCAATTAAAAAATCCAACTTCCAAAGTAAAGCGACTAGAAACTCGAAACACTGACATGCTGTAGAACACGTTTTTTTAATGAAATTTTAGCGCACCTGAATGTCTGCTATTCAAATTTCGTGCAACTGTTTGTGACAAATCCACCAGAATTTACTCACGCTCGTTGTTATAACTGAACTCGAGTTACCAATTCTCTATCCAATGATACCAAAAAGAACTCTGACTCAAATGGTTCTTGAGCAACGTCAAGAAAGGTGGCGTAATCTTTCGGTCAAATTCGCAAATGAAAAAGAAACAGACAAATCTAAAACTCTTAACTTTTAGGAACTGGAACCGATATTTGCATATCTGAAACGGTTCTTTGGAGACAAGCTTCAAATGAGCTTAATGCAAAAAACCGCCCAAAATATGCCCAAAGGTTAAAAATGTCTTGTGAAGGAATCAGTGGTTTAAATCTGAATTCGGGGTGCGCAGACCGAGGAGCGAAGAGTTCCAACTCACCAACTCAAAAGCACAACTCAACACAGTGTTACTCAGGCCTATAATGCAATGAAAGTCCATGCATCCGCCAGTATTACCTCAGAAAGCACCTTCCGCTAAAAAACCTTCCAATCTAAACCATATATGAAAAAACGCTCATGCTGGGGTGTTTCTGCCTGGAAAATGAATGCTCCAAATTCAGACTACCAATTTTCCAAAAATGTTCGATTAATCGTCGTTTTTCCGTACTGATCGAAAAAATCTGGATCAATAGAGCAAGTGTCGGTCTGGTGGACATAAGCAACACTTGAACCAAATACAAATGGACCCAGAAACTTTCTAAAGAAAGAAAACTGGACACTTTCGTTAATAGACGACAACAAAAAAGAGAAATAAAAAAACACTCGAAAATTTAAAAAAATCAAATAATTGTTGCTTTGATGTTACATTTTGCAAATGCAACAATACCAAATCCTCATTTTTCAATATAACGTTTCGATACCGATAATCCTGCTAACAATAAATTTGCTGATGAAAAACACGCGTCAGTTGAATTATTTCTGTTGAAAAACGTGATGAGTCATTCTCACCCTTAGTTCAATTAAAAATTAATGCTGCAGATTAACTTGCACTGTTACACAAGTAAGCGTTTTATTATACAACTGTTATGCAGCAACTTTTGGCAAACGTTACGTGTTTGTTGCCCTATAAAATATTAGTTCAAAAAATTAGTTACTACGCTAATAAAATAAATATTTCCGTTACATATCGCAAAAACATTAATTTCTCCTTTGAATACATGGCAAAAATTATGCTCTTATACGAGAATGGCTGGCATCTTATATGCGATTTACGTTTCGCTCCATGCCCCACTTCAACATCAATTTGGACCAAATTCTCTCTGCGAACGAGTTCCGAAAATGAAATTCTCTTTTAAGGTTGACAAGTTATCTAATCGTCCAGGAGACGCAGTCTCTCGTCTGTTTTGGATGCGAACAATTTCTTTGCTGCTTATTTCTTTTTTATTTCGTTCAATTTTCTCTTCATTCAGTCACTGTCTCTCGGGACCGAACGTTCTGTACTCGGATTTCATTTTGCCGACATCGTTTTGTTCTGCGGTTGCGAAACCATTGCCAGGCAATATTAGTTGAGTATGAATTGTGGTTTAAATAGCTGTGTTTTTCGCAATCAATGTTATTAATGAGGAAAAACTAATCAGTTTACTTATACAAGTTTTTTTGAAGATATCAACACAAAACGTATATTTAAAAATACAAGTTCAAATGCACTTATTTCATCCAATATAAAATTTGGCCTTTGGAAGGAGCAAATTAAAAGCAAATTTGAGTGAAAGCGCTTTTGTTCAGCGCTGGTTGCCCAGATTTTCAACAAAATCCTGTACAAAGTATGGACTAAATGAAAACGTCACTCCGTATCGCGTATGTTATTCGGGCCATAACTTTTGTCTTCATAATGAATTTCGGCCGGTATTATATCCGCTTTTATTTTAAAACGTTCATTTTGCACGGACCAGCTGCTACCCCCAAGTCAGGAAATATTAAAAAGTAACTTCCATACATAAATAAAAAGTTGGACAAGCTTGCAACATTGCTCTACACCACTTGCAAAATGCATGAGCCCGAATGAGGGAGAATTATTTTCGATTACAACGTGCAAAGTGACTCAGTTTCAGGGAGGTTGTAAATTTATTGCAAATTAAGCTTCTTAGGCGATTTACCTTCATAAGATAAAAATATTAACTGACTAAAGAAATGGTTTAGTCTGAGTTTCAAGAATATCTTCAAATGTAGTTTGAAAAATCGCTTATCATAACTGAAATCGCACGAATCTTTTAAGAGTTGCTAATTTTTGAATGTAAGTAATATTTATGAGTATGTGATGAAAAGTCCTGAAGGAGATGCTGGGAAACCTTTAAAAGGGAAATATTTTGTAAACCGGTTTGTTGCGATCGTATGAAGAAAAGACCGTCTGAGTTTATTAGCAGGCTGTCGAAAAATATGTTTCCTTCCTCTGGGTTTCACCTGATGAAAATCTGTTGAAGAAGAGCCCTAAAGCTTGGAAATCACCTCACAAAGGTTGTTCTTCTGAAGACCGCAGACAACAATCCCCAACACTTTCCGCTGATGATAAACTAAGCTTGTGTAACACTGTAAGATGATTGTCGATAAAAATATCGATGTTTCCTTTACTTCGAAGTAGGCACATTAAATTGCAATGCAGTCTCTACCTCTTGAATGTTACACTAAAGATGCATCCTGTCATACCTCGATAGAGCAGTAATAGCGACGAAATTCGCAGTTGGGATTCGTAATCAAGCACACTGTCACTTCGATTCGATGATTGCTGACAAGCACATATGGAAACGGAACAAATCGACATATTCGATGCAATATGCGACGATGTTATGCGAAATTGTTATTATGCACATGTTCCGAAGATAAATTATATACGGCACACTAGTTGACAATAAATATATAACTCATCCATTTCGCACCACTCCCCAGTACACTTTTGCGTTAATCTAAATTGTATAAGTTTTTCGTGAACGCAACCACCCTAACCTTCAACTTGAATAAGGAAATATATAAAAAGTTCGAAACTTGGGGATCTTATCTGTATCTTTTCGTTCCATCAAACTTTCCTGCAACTGAAATTGCAAAAGATTGTTCCGTGTTTTAAACAAGGCCCGGCCAAAGTTTCAAGCCTTAGATATAGCAGGGCAGTGTTTTTTAGTTTAGTTTTATCAGTCCTATTTTATCTGCCTGTTACTTCGACAAGGAAAAAGGGAAAATTGAACAGTTTCGTTTTCAACCGGTAAGTTAATGTGTTTTCTTGAGTCGAGTGTTTTTCTTCAGTTTTCAACTAGAGCGCACAAGTTAATGGTATCTCAATAACGGGCGAACTACTCAAATTCAACAGTTTGAACAAAAGTAAAAAACGGAAAATTATGTTTACTCTATGAAAGTATTAGTTTATGTAGATTAAGGCTATGTTAAAAACTCTTTAGTCGGACCAATTTAAGCATTGCAGTTCTGCTGCTTAAAAATACACCTTTCCGAGTTTATTTCACTTTTCAAGTATCTGCAGTAAAAATTCGCCGATAAAAGTAAACAGTGTCAAATCCTATCATTGAAGCCCAAGTTTGCGACTATCCCAGTTCCAACTTGCGCCAACAATCTTCAGTAATCCGAGTTTTTTAAAACTTTCGCCGGCGGTATATAAGAAAAAAGAACAGAACGCCCGGTTAGGTTTCCTAATTTCGTAACGTTTTCAATGGCTATTGTCAGATGGGAAATTTTTAACGAACCTTGCCGATTTTTGTTGCATAATTTTAATCAGGCAGACGGTTCGCGGATAAATCCGAAAGTTCACCCATAGAACACGAATATTCGATTGGGATAAAGCAACGAAATGTTATGTAGGAATCGTCCGGTTTGCTAGAAAATTTTACATAAAATATATTTGATAACAAAATCACCACATGTTTATCGGCGTCTCTATGCAAAAAGTCACATGTTGCTTTTTCCCGCTGTAGCTTTCACGGTTAAAAATTAATTGATTAGTGCAGTGATTGAAGCAAGTAAAAAATCACCGAAACCACTTCTATTTGCTGCAGCATTTGATTAGTATTACAAATAGTCCAAAAGCCCACTGGGGCCCCATAAAGGGACATCTCTTGAATAAAATCACCACTCACTCTCTTATTGTGGTCGGTAGTATTCATTACCACATTTGTGCTAGATCATTTGCTACAATGGCCGAATCGCATTAAGGAACAAAATAGAAAATATTTCATCAGAGTCCTAATGAAAACTTGAGTCACCACGATAGGATTCACCCTAGTGCATAGTCGTCCGCGCCACGTGTTTTCTTTTATAAATGGCCCAGGATGGACCCTCAGGGAACCATTGTGTAGATCTCCGATATATCATAATCGTATACTAGTGTCGAAATTAATGAGTTATTGATTTGCGCTGAAACCCGTA